GATGGGTGTGTAGCGGCGTGAATTGCCCGGCATCGGCTGCCGTACAAGGCCGTAATGTAGAATGTAGTCAAAGACCGCCATGTAGACCAGCAGGATGAAATTAGAGGTCAGGTGTACGGCGATGGCTACTGGACCAAAAATGCCGTACATGGCGACCGTCAGTGCCGCCTGGGCCACAAGCCCCACCAGCGTACTGCAGGAGGAGAAAAATTACGTTGCACGCGGTACGGCCCCGGATTTTCCAAGAATATCAAGGCGAGTGCTTGATTAGGCTATGGTTGCACCTTTCACCGGTATCCCATGATACTGCCGATGACCGGCGATGCCCCGATTGGTGATGCGCCTGTCCTAGTAACGAGCCTCCAACCAGTTAGAATTGTCGCTACCAATATATTCAGCACAGACAGGCCAAATTATATCAAATTATAAATTATAACTGATAAATTTGTTGACCATAACAAAGAAAACCGCAAATGCAATCAGCATATAAAAGATTAATACATGCCACGCTACCTGCACTATAACTTCATGCTTTATTCTCGGCGACCAAATTGGACACATCGCCATTAAGACTCCTGTAACCATCATGGTTTGATGAACAACTACAATAACCACAAGGCTTGGATGTGTGTCGCGTGCTGCCCACCATCACCACCATAACCACCACCACCATCACCACACAGTCGTCCATATCGCCCCCACATCGGGGCGGCCGTATTTCTACCCGTTCTGGCGTCTTTCTGTCTTCCTACACTTCACCACGTGTACACCTCCAAAACTCCGGCTATTTCTTTTCCTACTACTACTACTACTACTACTACTACTACTACTGCTGCTGCTACTACTGCTACTACTGCTACTACTGCTACTACTGCTGCTACTACTACTGCTACTACTGCTGCTGCTGCACCAGTACTGCTACTACTACTTCATCTACTGGGATATTACTTGTTTTCGGACTTATTTCTTCCACCTGCATGGCGTGCTTCCCGCGGCTCATCAGTCTAATCAATAAACACACAGTCATACAGCCATTATAACACACAGCCACGCACACCTTGCGCTATATATACACACACATATACATACACACACTCACTCACTCGCCTGTTATGGGGGCTGAATTTCGACTTGCCTGCCCGGTTGCACTCCTGAACCGCCAGATGCCAGGCCTGCGGCAGCGGGTAGGTGGCGGGTAGGTGGCGGGTAGGTGGCGGTAGGTGGCGGGTAGGTGGCGGGTAGGTGGCGGGTAGGTGGCGGGTAGGTGGCGGGTAGGTGGCGGGTAAGTGGCGGGTAGGTGGCATGTAGTGGCGGTTAGGTGGCGGGTAAGTGGCGGGTAGGTGGCGGGTAGGTGGCGGGTAGTGGCGGGTATGTGGCGGGTAGGTGGCGGGTAGGTGGCGGGTAGGTGGCGGGTAGGTGGCGGGTAGGTGGCGGGTAGGTGGCGGTTAGGTGGCGGTTAGGTGGCGGGTAGGTGGCGGGTAAGTGGCGGGTAAGTGGCGGGTAGTGGCGGGTATGTGGCGGGTAGGTGGCGGGTAAGTGGCGGGTAAGTGGCGGGTAAGTGGCGGGTAGGTGGCGGGTAGGTGGCGGGTAAGTGGCGGGTAGGTGGCGGGTAGGTGACGGGTAGGTGACGGGTAGGTGGCGGGTAGGTGGCGGGTAGGTGGCGGGTAGGTGGCGGGTAGGTGGCGGGTAAGTGGCGGTTAGGTGGCGGGTAGGTGGCGGGTAGGTGGCGGGTAAGTGGCGGGTAGGTGGCGGGGTAGGTAGCGGGTAGGGGGAAAGACGAACCACGAACGAGTGAAGCTGCTGCCAGGTCAAGAGTGTACCAGACGCAGAACTGACCAAAAGGCGTTCTTGAAGGCGGCGACCTCGGGATGACGTAGCGGGTAGGGGGTACGAGGAAAGAAGGCGAGGCGGGAAGCACAACCAACAAAATGCAAAATGCGTTACCCTCCACCCGCACTTCCCTCTGTCCTTCCCCCCATCCCCGGCGGCACAGAACCCCTCGGGCTCACCTCCTTGTAGCTGCCGGCGTAGTACGGCAAAAAGAACGAATAGAAGTCTTGGCCTTTGGGGGCGCATGTGTAGTCGGGGGGGGTGCAGACGTGCAGGTGGTGCTGCAGATGGGCCCTGTGGGTTTCGGGGTAAATATTGGGGTTTCGGAGAGGGCTAGCTGGCTGGCTTTGAAACGGTTTTGTTCCCGGAGAAAATTTGAAAGAGGGTGGGAATAGGCACACCCTGGTTTCGGAGCGAATGGTTTTGGAGCGAGTAAAGAGCGGGCGGGGTTCCGACGAGAACAGCACTGTACGTCAGCTTGTCGCAGTATAGGCATCTACCGCTCAACGGGACCTTACGTACGCCGTACATATGCCGTACCTGTAGTACGGGTACCACCAGTACAGCGCAAGGAACATCCACGCCGTCGCCAGGTGCACAGGGTTGCGGCTGTGGATGAGCTCGTGACTCGCCGCCATGGCGATCCGCGCCCTGGCGCAGCAGAGCCGAAACCACAGCCACGCGGTTGTCGCTGGCCGCGGCGACGAGCGCTTGGTCCAGATGAACACGGAGGTCTGGTACCATGTGGAGGAGCTCATCCACAACCTGCGGGTGTCCGGCTTGGAGCAGCTCTGAACCGCCCTCACGGTCCACCTTGGCGCCATGGCGGAGCAGCAGCGCGGCGGCAGCGGAGTGACCGCAACGGCACGCTGCCAACAGCAGTGAGATCGTGCCACCGTGCCGGCAGCTCGGCGGCAGTAGCTGCGGGAGCGGTGGAAGCGGCGGCATCACAGCGCTTGGCGGCGGAAGCGGCGGCAGTGGAGGAAGCGGCGGAAGGGGCGGAAGCGGTGTAGATACTAGCAGCCGGCGCCTTGGTGGCCGCGGTGGTCGTGGTGGCAGCGGGGGCAGCGGCGGCTTCCGGCAGCGCGGCGGCGGGGTCCGCTGGTGACTATCGCGCCGGTTCTGTTCAGGTGTTTGGGGGGAGGGTGCGGCCCCAGGACCGCTGTCATCGACTCGAGCGCTAAAACACAGCTGGAAGTCGTGGCTGGGGCCATCACCACCGCTGGCGCCGTCGTTGACCTTCTGTTCGTCAATGTCATGATCCTCATCATCTTCATCGCTGTCCCAGCCGGACACGACGGTGCTTGTTGGCACGCGAACGGTAGTGGTGCTGCTGGCGACGACAGTGGAGAAGGGTGACGGTACTACTGCTGGCACTGGCACAGCAGCAATGGCAGCGGGAACAGTGACGGGGAAAGCATCATCGTAAGCGAGCATCTCACAGCACACCAGGGAGGAGGAGGAGGAGGAGGAGGCGGAGGAGGAAGTGCAGGCCGATGCGTTGGCGACAGTGGCGGCAGTGCTGGAGGCCGCCGCAGTCATACAGTCGGCCCTGGAGGTGACGGCAGCAGTTGACTGTGATGATGAGGCTTTCAGATCATTGAATGCTGGCTTGCCCGGCTCGTCCACGCCATAGATTTTGCTGCTAGTGACGGTCCCGAGGGCTACATGCGGCTGCAGCGCGCCTCGCCGTGACGGTGGACTCGGATCTGGAGCCGCCGCTGGAGCTGTCGTGACAGCGGTCCTGGTCGCAGGCATCTGAAGCGGCTGCATGCCGTCATTCGCCGCTCCGAAATGCCAAGACCTGTCCAAGCTTGCGACAGTCGGCCACTGACGCAGGGCGTAAGCTTGCAGCGGCTGGTTGGCGGCGGCAGATGCCGGTGCACCGAAACGGAGTACGGTAGCGGCGTACGACCGGCCCTTGAACAACGGCACAGCGATGCAGGGCCCGTCAACTTGCGTCCCTGCCTCCAAAAGCAGCTTGACTACGTTTGTGTGGCCACTGCGAGGGATATGAGAGTGTGGGGTTTGGGGGGCGATTAGGAGCTAAGTGAGCAGCACGGCGAAACACGTCTTCTTAAGCAAGGGTTAGGGTGCGCAGGGTGCGCACATGGAGGTTTTCCCACAATGAAAAACTACGACAAAGCATGTTCGCTGGCAAAACCTAGATCCAGGTCCGCGGACCTTTGCACTGCCCACTTTGGGGCTGATGCCACAAAAGTAGATCCCTCTAACGCGCCCACAAAACCCTCTCAAAAACAGCGGCCTGTGCAGTCCTACGAAGGCATTCACGCACTTTTGCACAGCCTTGAATAGCGCCGATGGCGCTAAGGAGCCGGACACGGCGTTGGGGTCCGCACCCCGAGCCAGCAGCAGCCACACCACCTGAACTTGGCCTTCCGCGCTGGCGGCCACAAGGGCCTTATCCATGCCCGATGCACCCAGAGCCAGGGCCAGGGCCACAACTTGCACGTGACCGGCAGAGGCAGCGGCCCCCAACAGCCCAGTTGCAAGCTGCCGAAACGAAAAGATGGTGCCCGGATCCAAGCAGGAAACTGTGCGCAGCGCGGGATTCGATGTAAATATGTAATGTTTCATTCACATACGGCAGGCACAAAGGTACGATAGAGGAGGCATATGCAAGGGAGAGTACGGCGAACAGAGACGGGAGGGGCAAAACGTGTTTTTTTCGCAAAACGTTTCGGGAAGAACGGTTAATGGGCTTGCAGTCGGTCGGGCTACTTGTTGGTTAGTGGTTAGGTGGTTGAGTAGCTGGGTATTTAGCTGGCGGTTATTTCACCTGCATGATACTGGTGTCCAGGTATGGAGAAGGATGTCTTGTTACGGAAAATCGTTTGACATTTTTTAGGTAGTTCGTTAAACAGGCAGTTAAATACTATGGCATAACTGATTGGAAGTTGGACCGGTTGGCCGTTAGGTACGGAAACTGTTATCGGGGCATCTTGGATTCTGCGCCAGGTGGTACCGATACAACTTTTAGCAATGGTACAACTTATGCCTACCATCATGGTTCGTAACTTCGATCTAACAGTGTGGACATGAGCGAAAGCC